AGGGATCGAGCCCTGGGACTTGCATCCGCTACTGCGAACAGGTGAATACCGTTTCACTCCCGCCGGCCTAAATTCAAGGTCCTCCGAGAATAACTCAGTCCAAGGCAGGACCTTTACCTTTCCTATCTCTCTTGTAGGCTCTAACTATGTCGGGAGCGGTTTCTAGAAGTTCTGTTCTGGTAAACCAGCGGTCGTCCTCTGGTTCCTGATAAGCAATCCGGACCTTATATTGTTTCTGTGGACGACCTCTACCTCCTGTTCTAAACACATCTTCACCTACAATGCCGTCAATGTCGTACCTTCCGTCCATGTCTGGAGGTATCATGGACCTTCTGGATGGAAACTTGTTGACTTGTGACACACGGCAACAACTTTGACACATGAAACACCGGGTAGGTGTGGAGGTGTGCTGGGATCTCTACTGTGTAGGACGGCCCATCCTCTCTGCCCTTGACTTCTAGAACTGGCCATGGTCCCCTGTACGCTGGCAGTAACTTCTGCGAGATGTTTTCCTCAGGAGCAAACTCTTTGGACTTGACCCAGACTAAGTCGCCTACTTGGAACTGCGATGGGCGACGGTGCTTGTTGGCTTGCTCTATCATTCTATGCTGGGCCTTCCTGAGGTTCTCGACGACTGTAGCTACCTCTTTCTCGTGCTGTATCACGAACTCCCTAGTACCAGGCTGTAGCCTATGAATCTGATCCCGGTTAAGGCCCTCAAACGGTCTGCGCGGTCTAAAGGACTTGTGTAACTCGTTGGGAGTGCGACAGGTGGACAAGTGCACGCTGTTGTTATACGCACTGGCTACCTTGGGCAACATCTCATCCCAATTGACTTGATCTGGTCTGATGTACATGCGCAGAACTTGCTGCAGGATCTTGTTCATCTGTTCAGTCTGACCGTTAGTCTCTGGATGGCGGCCAGATGACATCAGCAACTTTCATGAGTTCCTACCAGTTCTGACTAGTGAATCGGGTGTCTCTATTGCTAACTATAGATAACGGAATCCCGTGATCACTAATCCAATAGTCAAAAAACTTTTGAATTACTAACTCGGTGTGTGCCTCTACAGGAAAAGGAACGAAAACAGCATACTTACTGAATCTATCAACTATGACCATGACTTGGCTCTTACCATACCTACTCTTGACGCCAGCCTCACTGACATGAACTCTACGAGTCTGTAGCCATTGTCATCGTCCTGCTGTAACATGGCACCTATACCATACTGACTCGAGTCCGTGGTGACGACAAATGGCAAAGACGGATCTGCTACTTAGAGGACATGATACTCTATTAACGTGCGCTTTAACTTCTTTAGCGCAGACGTACAGTCTCTATCCCACTGCCAGATTGCCTCTTTCTTGAGCAACCTGCAAAGGGGAGCGGCGATAGTCGAGAAGTTCCTCACGAACTTCCTATAGTAGTTAGCTAGGCCTAGGAATGACCGCAATTCCGTCAACGTGCGGGGCGTCGGCCAATCTCTAACCGCCGTTATCTTGCTGTCTTCAGGTTTAATGCCGTCTCCATCTAACACGTGGCCCACTCGCACTTCTTTGCGTTGATCTTGAAGTTAGTTTCTCTCAGCTTCTCCAAGACCTGCCTCCAATGACCCTCATGCTCTTGGAGGGTCTTACTGAATACTAATATATCATCTAGATAAACTACAACGAATTTGTCTAACCACGGCCTAA